GAACGTGATGATATCCAAGAGGATAGAAAGGGGTGCAGGCGTGTGGATAGCGCGCGAGTACTGTCCAAGAGTCTGTCATTATCCATCTTGTTTTATTGTTTCTGATCGTTGCCCTCATCGGTACCACCGTCCTTGTGATACGCCTCCTCTCTCTTTCTCGTTTCTAGAATTTATTACTGATGAATATCCTCGGGAAATTTTAGTGCTCGGCTGATCGAATGATATGGTTGTACTGCTTGGAGAACGCGGGTGTGCGTGCGACGGTGGTAATTGCTAGTTTGTCGAGATGGTAATTCGTAGTGTCGAAGAGTGCACGTATACGTGGTTGAAGAGGAACTGCGTTAGTGCCGATAGACAGCTCGGCTCCTTCGATCGATTGGAGATCAAGGAGAGTGCAGTGGCGTGACGCGAAACAATTCAAAGATCTTGACGACTTAATCGACGTCGTGTGACTTCATGGAGAAAGAATATAGCCAGAGGCGGTTTTTTACAACATTTGGAATAATATTCAACAGTAAACAGTCATTTAAAATGAATTCATTCTATAATTTATTTAGTATTTACTTTAGAAAATTATTTGTAGCATGAAGGAAGTGGATTTTCTATGCATAAAATCATTCGATCGTCTAATCATGATTGTTGTGCAATGATAATAATTTATGTAATTTTAAAAATATATTTTTTTATCTTTATTTAGAAATTGAAGATACATTTAGGAAACTTTCTTGAAAATATATTAAATAATTCATGATTTCTATTGCTTATCGTACTATTTTATTCAACAACTGACCTATTCAATCTACTGACCATTAAAATTTTACCTTATTATTAATGAAAACTTTGTTACTTATATTTATGTTATAATAATAAGTTAGGATGGTTAGGAGTGAAAATAAAAATAGGTTGTTAGATATTTCATTTTCATTAACATAAATATTAACTATTCGTAGTAGAGCTGATAATTATTGTTTCTGAAAGAGCATAAGGTCAAGCAGATCTTAAGGTGTTGTAGAATCGTAGCAAGTAATAATCATAATAAAATAATATAGTTCGCGAAGACGGGTGCATAATTGTAGAAGTTATCGGGAAATGGAAAAAGTAAAGTTGCATTTATTCATGCGGAACAATAAACGTGAGAACACTTTCGTAACCCGGATGTAACTCATAATTGTACAATCTCAAGGATTTAATCGACACGTCCGACGGTTGCGTCTAATTTCTTGACTTTTTTTTATAACGACCATATGTGAGTAAGATGAAAGTATAGAGATGAGAACAGTATTTCCAGGTCAAACAGACTCTCTCACAGTTCCATTTGAACAGTATTAGATGTACACAAATAAAATGTACACATTGGATATAGAATATTGCCTTTGGACAGTCACTTTGGAAACACCGGAAGGGATCACAGTCATTTGAAGACCCCATCTAAAATAACTGATCCGTTAGAAAAAAAGAATAAGATAGAGCAAAGTCGAATCGTTGTCAAGTGTCTACTTCAACAAAAGACTACCTGTAATTAAGCAGCACCTACTTTTCAATGCTCATCATGACGATCCTTTCATGTGCCCACTCTTTGGAGAGTTGTGCATTTACGTTCTCCAAACTCCCACGACAAACTTCATGATTCATTCTTGGTGAACTTGAAGATTTCATCGAACAAGTCAAAGACCGTTAGTCGACTAAAGGTTGCGACCTCGTCCTTCGTCGTAAGAAGTTTAGTTAAAGACTGTTGACTATTTGAACTGCGCCTTCCTGGTGTGCTATTGGCAGAATGGAGAGAGCATCCGCCTATAGGATTTTGATCAGCAAGAGGAAAAACCGTTAGTCGATAGAACCGAAAGGATTCGACCTCTGGTATAGCTTTATGAGGACAGAGTTTACACGAGACAACTTCCAGGAGATTAATCCTATTCTATAAAATTGACCCTGAATATTGTTGATTCCCTATGAGAAATTGTCGGCCTTTTGTATTTCAAAGATTAACCATGACTCAACTGTCTGCAGTGTTTTACGCGCCGTTTCAGCTGAAGGCTAAGGTCAATTATCACATTTACTCTTCTTTCTTACTTCAAATTACACAAATGAATATACACTACCGCATTTCTAGCTTTCTTCTTTATAAGAAGCTCAGATTTTTTGTCAAACAAAATTTTTTCCTTCTTTCAACTTTACTTTTCATCAAAATAATGAATAATAAAAATTCATTCTGCTCCAATAAGTCAGTTGAATTATCATAATGGAGAATTAATTATAAAATAAATTATCTTTCCTGTTTTTTCAGCAACATTCTTCCCATTTATCTAATCAGTTTATATAACCAACTATAAATATCTACTCGTTTGTTTACTTTAACTAGAAGAATTAATTTTTCATCAAGTCTATCAATTCTCTCATTAATTTATCCTAAATTGAATTAGAGTCTATTATTTTATTCCCTCAATTATTTTATTTTGTTGGCAATTGAACAATTAACTGAACTAGCTACTAAAAGCCGATGGCATATTAGTGATGAAGAAGGTAATTGGAAAGAAATCCTGTTCCAATAACTATATTGATAGTGATCGATGAGCCAATTAATCAACCCATTGAATCTATCAGCTTTTCCAAGCTATCAATACTTTCTGAAGACAATGTTATGATTTATATGAGTATAATATTACTTATTCAGATTTCTATTACAAGATTTCGTTATAATATTATTGTAATCATTACCAACAGTACACTTTCTATATGAGTGAAAGCTCAATACTGCTCTGAGTACAGAGAATGTAAGCTTGCAATTGATAAAATAAAATTTCTGGTGGAAATTACTAGGATACAAAGTGATGGTGATAAATGGTTGGATATGAATACATGCTTCAGGTATATCTCACCTATTTCCACATTTCATTTCTACTATTTATCTGGTCTATGATTTGTTATTATCTTGTCGCCTCTTGTAACTTGATACAGAAATCCAACAAACATCATCGATAATTCACTTCTACGTTTCCAATCCGAAAATTATTATTAAAGTCAACGAACACAATCAGACTGGATTAAGATGGCAAATGTAATGCATTTAAATGACTCCATTGTAGATAACCCTCTTGCTTGATTCACGTACCTCAATACATTTCACCTTTTCCACTTTATTGTGGGAAAGAAAAACGAGCCATTTTTTTTTTTAAATCTCAGGTGAAATCAAAGTAAAGAAATGCTTTTTAAATCCAAGGAGATCAGGGTTTCGTTTAGAAGCTTTTCAGATGAAGACTTTTTTTTTTGAATCATCAAACTTTATGGAGCTTAAGTAAACCTCCATCCACGTGATTTCCTATCTTTCCTCGTCTACTTCAGTGATCTTTACGTCTTTTCAGGGGAAATACCCTTCTGATGTGCCAACTAGAACTTTGGTCGCCCTTCTCACCAGGGGGTTATCTCTGAGTGAGGAACAAAGAGCTCTAATGCACGCGGAAATAACCTTGGGTAATTTTATTCCTTGGCAAATTCTGGGGAATATTACTAGTGGGATAGAATCTGATAATTTTTTATGAGCCTGATTTGGAACTGACTCACTGGAAGCAGTCCCTCATGCATCAGTTAAAATGTATTTCCAGATACTCAATGGAAGATCAGCAAAGTATTTAATGGGATGAAAAAGCTGATAACTACAGAAAAAAATGATTTATTCTTTTTGGAGTGGTAATCATTTTTCCTTTAGACAAGTTCTATTTCATATTAATTAAATGATAGTGTAAAGTTATTCTAAATGTCAAACGTTTGAATAAATTTGTGTCTTTATAAAGAGACAAATGTCTGATTGATGAATATTAATCAATGAATAATAAATATTTATTCATTCAATTGTTTTTATTAATATTATTATGATTTTCTCAACTTTGATGTATTATTATTTTATTCAAAAGGTAAATATTTTTTGTTTGACTTTTCTTGATACTAATGGACCTGTCATCTTTTAGGTTAAATTTTAGAAAATAAATAATAAAAACTTGACACTAATCTAATGATCCCAAAAAAAAATGTAGACGAAAGTTTTCTGAATGACCCAAGTATATCGAGTTTCAAAATCCCATTATGTAGCGGATTAGGGTTGCACGTTCCAAAGTCTAGAAGTTCCTTGGGATCTGTAGGAATAGATCAAACCCAAGGGACTTATACACTACGTGCCGTGTAAATCAATTATGCCATCAGAAAGGGAAGGTGTTGATGGGATGAAGAAAGTGGAAAGATGTTTAGGCTGAAAGAAATTAATTTTTAGGTAATAAAAAGTGAATATACTTTTTTCATTTTCATCAAATGAATGAAATTCTCAGGTCTGTATTAATTTGCTGAGAGCAACGACGGGATGACGAATGAGAATTGTGGAACTGACACACCCTTACGAATTGTAGCATTAGTTACTGTTCATCAACATGGCGTTTCCGTTAGATTCATTATACTGTTTACATCTCTCTCGTTGAAAAATATTCTTCTAAGTAAATAGAAACTCCGTCAAGTATAATTGTATAGATTAATGGCTCCAATGTTTACTGTTCGATTATTTATGCTGAATAAAAGCTTGACTTCATTAACAAACAAACCGATATTACATAATTGTAAATAATGACAAAAAAGGAAATATTTGCCTATCAATTAATAAAATTGAAATAATTCTTTTATTGGAGTTTTTATTGTTTACTCTCTTCACACTCTAGGGTAATTTGATTAAAATTATGACTACAATTAAAAATAAAATTGAATGATTGAGATGATCATAGAAATGAAAACTATTCTTTCGCACCATACAATTAAGTTGGCATGTTTCCTGCTTTCTCTTGTCAATGTCAGAGCGGAGCCAATACATACACAATGTCTCGCGAAATGTTGAAAGAATCTGTTTCCGCGTAATCTTAAATAGAACTATAGAAATGAATGTGCATGCAGCTGCAATAAGAAGTGACATGAGTTGAGTTAGATGTTACAAAGTAACTAAAAGGTTTCTTTGATGTTTGTTACAGATCTCGCGATGCCGCCACCCGATCGTCACAGTTTTTAACTGTAGGCCTGAAACAAATGGCCTCGATACTTGGAGATGGCACGGGCCCTGGTGGGCCCGGTCCCACGAGGTGCCTTCTCCTTTTGCAAAGATCCCTGGCCATTCAGCTGAGTCGTGGACCTCCGCCTACGGTTCTTGCTACCAACCAACATGACAGCTCTAAAGAGCATCCTGCCGATGAGATGTGGATGTACGACAAGGGCTACAATCTCTTCCAGGTGAGTCAATAACTTGATTTAACAACCATCAGAATTATTCTTAAGGTCGAACACTTTGTCTTTTGCATATATTAATTTTTATTATGTGGACCCCTCTTGCTTACTCTTTTGTGAAGTGAATTAAATTGTCGACTTAATATTACGGTTGTTACATCATGACATTACTCTATCAGCGATTTATGACAAGTAAGCACCGTTAAGCTAAAATAAACTGACTTCTGATTGGTCTCACCGTTATGCGTGGGAATAAAATACAAAGAGTTGTAAGCAATTTCATAAAAAAGTCTAACTGACGCAATAGAGTAGACTGTATTCTTCATAACACAATGGAAGCCGGAAACTTATTTGTCAAGCAAACTAAGCATTTTCGTCTCTGTGACACATTTCGGTATTCACATTCCGCTGTAGTTAGCAAATAATGTCCCAAATACGTTCATAAATTTCTTAAATTATTTTTTGAGGCTTCTCGAACTCTCTTTCTGTCTTTTGCAATACAAATCAAGTACTCTTGGCACGAACTAGTTCCAGATTTCCAAGTACACTTCTTTAAATTAACCGAATTTTGCTTGCCAAAAGCTTGCCTAGGTCTCAAAGTGTTCCACAAAAAAATGCAAGAAATCGCTGAACCGTGTAAAATACAAGAGAAGAGTCTAGTTTGTTGGTGATTTATCTGATGACATAGTAAAGTCATTAAAGAGACACTTTGGTCTTTGGTTGTGGTGATAATAATGACGTTAAATGGAACGGCACAAAGCAGAATTTATTTTATGCTTAAGATATTTTTTAAATCATTTGACATGAATTGAATACGCTACAATAAATCTTGGATCAATTTAAATTTATTATTTGATTCAATTGGACTTATTTTTATCTCAAAAACTCCTACAATCTCCAGCTGGGTAAAATAAAAAAATTAAACCAATTTTATTGTAAATTAGTATCTTGGTGGCTTAATATTTTTTAGAGTTGAAAAAAAATCTCAATCACAATAAATAATAATCTGTCATATAATTATAAGACTTATCGTCTATATTATTTCTAAAAGGACATAAATCTATCAGCAAAGACAGTAAATATTACTTCCTAGTAAAACACGCGAATCAATAAATTTGTCTACCATTTTTCGCACCTACAAAGAATAATTCAAAATGATATCAATCTACATAATGATCATGAATAATGATTAATTATAGCTTATTTTAATTTCGAATAAAATAAAATGAATTTACGTTCTATTTCATGCGTTTAAAACATCGATCATAATTTAAAGCAGATAACGGTAACTGAAACTTATTACTAAACTTTTTGCATATTCAACATACACTTGAGTCAAGTAGTAAAATGTAACTTACACTCTGCTAATACATATCGTTTCTCTGCATTATATAGATAGCGATATGGATTTCAGGTAACTTACTATCTTCCTGATACATCATAAACCCGACTATGATAATGTTTAATCAGACAATCATTAATTTACGTTATTCAAAGATCATTAAGAAATCATTTAATCTAAATTTATTAATTATCATTATTTATTTAAACTGGGAAAAATTTTCAATGATTTAATATATAATATCACTGATAAGAAACAAATACCATTAATCAATTCCTGTAGTATTATAGGAGATAGAATTTCAGACTTGATCAAATATTTGCTGATAATCTACCACGTTACAAGCTTTAGAGAGATTTCTGTCCTTTTCATCCATCATGATGCTGATGGCTCATGAGAATCTAGCCTCTAACCAAACATGGTACTTCAGTGTCCATGGGAGCCCTTGATTGGTCCACAACATGCAAGGACCCTTCATATCCACCCTCAATGACTTTGCGCAAAGTTCACGCTTGAACACCACCCACGTCCATATGAATTCCACTGAGTTGCAATATCGATTTTCCAGCTGGCACAAAGCAACGACGAATGAAAGTCACTGTAATATTTTATATCAAAAGCATTCCTTCAAATCGGTTTGTGTCGACAATGACACAACGAATAATTGTATTTATTAGCATTTTTATTTTTGCGAATGCTTTTATTGTCGTTGGTGGGTTCAATCTGGAAGATGAAACTGGATATTGATGAATTGAAAATTGAGAGTCAACTTTCAATTTTTTAATATTAACAACAACTTTAGCGGCATCTAGTATTAATATTTATGAAGATGGAGCATGTTTTCCGGTTGTGGGCCGTTGCCTGATCGTACAGAAATGAAAGGAAATATGTTAAATAAACAAAGAAGACTGTCGTGTATTTGCAATTCTCGATCGATCTTAGAATATAGTTTATTCCCGGAAAAGAGCCTGGAAGAGGGCATTGGCTTGGTTGCTTGCTCACGCACGGCTAGTTGAGGCAGAGCACACCGGATAAGCGTGTGGAGGAAGCCGCAGTGTGGCTGCAACATATAGTATTTTCTTGGTTGGTTCCTCGCTTGAGAACGCGGCCGGACGCGAACCGCCCGTCGAGTATATGCATAAAGATAAGAGAGGCGTCTCCTCTGGGGCACGAGCAGAATTCCCTTACTCGGCTACAGTGAATTACAAAGTCGAGATGGCCTTCGGCGACGCGATTCTATTTATTTCCGCTGCAATCCCGAGAAGCGGAAGAGATCGTGCTCGTGCTCACCTTTAAATCCGATTTGCATTGATCGCGAATTTTACACTTTATTTTATGTATCCACCCTTGAATAAATCAATTTTTGTCACGGTGAAAGATATAGAGATTGCGATAAGCGATCGAGAAATCCGGGTAATTGATCAAACGCTTGATAGATGTTCTTGAGAATAGTTACACAGAAAGTGCAATAAAACAGTTTAGAAAATTGAATTATTTTTAAATGTCACGAATTTTATTTTCAATTAAGATAATTTAATATATAGTAATAATTAAAAAATAATTATGACAAATCATTTTTATGTATTATTGTATTTTTTAATTCAAAAATTCAAATTGAATATTTCAAAAATATTATCAACTTAATTTTTAATTAAGAAAAAAATATTTTACAGCTTGAACTTAATAATTATATTTAATATTTTTTTTTTTATTTTTTGAAAATATATAATTTAAAAGACAGAAAAAAATGACAAAAAAAACTCAGAATAGAAAATGAAATTCACTATATATTATGCTGAAATAAAAATCATCGTCTTTCTTATAAATGAAAATGTAGGTTAATATGTCGACTTGTTTTTATTACAAATGTAACCATCATCGTCAGTAATAATTATTTAATGTGCGTTCAATCACAGTGATTTAACTAAATGCCATGTTGTATACTTTTTACTCTCTAACGAAAACAAATAGTACAAGAAATTTTTCTTCTTATTATAATTATATACCTCTTAATTTCTCATTTGTTAAATTTTTATTTCCTCCCAACGTTTCAATAGACTGCCTCACTGGCATTCCACTTAAAAAATTACTTTTTTTATTTAGTTAATAAACAGACTCAATTACGTAAAAATTAATTAGAAGCGATCAAAATCAATTAATTTTTTATTCCAACATTATATAAACCGTTGAACATAAACGAAAGAAAAATACAAAGTTGATGTATGTCATCAGGAAAAAATATATAAACTGATATGCATCATTATGCATTTACAACGATTAAGCTGTTTATCATATCGTCATCAAAAATTTTTCACTTAATAGACGTGTTATCGAGGATTTTCCGCTATCAAGAAATCTCATACATCATACTAATCGATCCTAACAGGCCAGAGAACCAGTTAGGAAATTAGTTAGACAAGCGTAAGAGCATTAGATCTACTAGATTAAAAGATTGAAAGAATATAGAAAATTAATGAACATAGTTCTCATGTCTAATATATTGGGTGAACTGCTGTTATAAAGGATCAACAGTTGTCTCTTACTGTTTACCTAGCGTAGCTGTTAGGTAGTTTAAATAAAAAGCATTATACCCGCATGAGAGCTCAGCACTTTCGAGTTTATGCGTAACATGAACAGACCAAAACCACTTCAGCACTTTCGCCTAGATCGTTGGTCTAGGATCTCTGTGGAAGTCTATGCTGATTCTTGGGGACGAGACCAAGACACTAACCACAAACGTGGTTTCGTCCTTCACCGATAACCACTGTCTTGTCTGTGAGACGTTGTTGCATACACTTTCACTCCTTGGATAAACTACATATTCGATAATAAATATCTAGTTTTAAGTCTTGTGTCTATCATGTCCCCAAGCACTTTTGATCATAAAAATTTCTTTTTCTACTTTTAAAAATCTAATCATATGCAAAGCCGTCTTATTAATTTACTTACTAATATACTTTTTTTTTTTGACAGTTATAAGTACTTTCTATCGAATAGTCGTATTTTTAACCTGAGTGATCTGGCGTAGAAAAAAGCTTATAAATAACATAATTAGATGAATCTATTTATAAATATCAGATAGATGTATTTTAATTTAATCTAAACTAAATAATAAACTTCTATCATCATTAAATTTTTTTTATAACTCATTATTTTACTTCTGAACACCGTCTCGCTAGTTACTTTAACGAGTAAATTCTTTTTTCATAGCTATTACAGTAATTGATTTGATGTAACAACCACTTCAGGACCTTTATGTTTTCTCATTTCAATTTTAATTACCATGATTCTAAAAAAAAAAAAAAAAACCTGATTCCCTCCAGAATGAATTAGTAAAGAATTTTTTCCAAGTTTTCAATTTCTTCCGTGGAGGTGTCTTCTTCATAAATCTCCAGCTATAATTATAAAGAATAATCAACATATTCCTGATGTACTCATCTAAAGGTAAATATCCAATGGCTTGACTCAGTAGTGGCTCACGACGATGTTTATGATGTCGTTCAGAAACATTATACGATACCTCATGAGCATTTATTTCTATTTTTCATCTTGCTCACTCCAATCCAACTTGATCCTTAGATCTAGACAATAAACACTCCTTGAAGTAGAAAGAGACTTGCGGTTAAGTCTGTCGCTCCATATCTCGGATTGTTAATGCGCTTGTACACGCGTAACACTAGTTGCCAGATCGAGAAGTTAATGCTAAGCCGATGCTAATTCTTATTTAGTTAAACTTACGACAACAGACGATGCATGCTTCTTGAATACTTTAAACTACTTAACTGTTATAGAGTAGAGTGGTGATACGGTATAATAGAAAACATGAGACTTGTGTCAAAGTAAACTATGATCACCAAATGCTTATACTCTTTTTCACTGTCCTGATGGAGAAAGCCAACGAAAGTCGGAAGCTTTTTAACTCCTATTTCATTCTTGGATAAAAAATTCAAAATATTTAACACGTGGCTTTTTTGCATACAATGTAGAAGAAAGAAAAGTAGAAAAAAAAATACTCATGTGAAAATGAGGACAAGGTTGCGATTAGTAATATCCGCATTTAGGAATGTTGCACGAGAGTACAAGTTGATACGGACGTACTTGTCAAGACCGTAAAAGTAAGTAGAAGCATACATAGTCCAGCAATGCACAGACGCATTGCGGCCCACGTCCGGGATACCGCGTATACGCAAGCCGACTAAGGCTGTTTTCGTATTAGCATATAAATTATGCTATCGTGATTTATGCTCGGGGCTGCGTATGCCTGCAATGCGCCAAGTATAAGTATCAGGGGTTGATTAAACGTTCTCTAGACTAGACTACACGAGTCCCTGAAGGCTGCCGATTGGTAATGACAGATCTGATATCATTTTTATTTATTTCTTTGTACCTGTTTTAATGTTATTATTTCATTTATTTATTTCCTTTTTTCTGCACTAACATTCAATATTTTAATGATTAATGAGCTTTCACAAAATAAGAAATAAAATTATTTTATTATTAATAACAATAACAGTGATAAATTACTTGATTCAATTTTTTTCTAAATATTGAATGCAATAAAAGTGAATTGTTTTATTGAAATATTGATATGAAAACGTTGATAACATCAGCGATTATTTATTTCATTCAATAAAATGAAAACAATAAATACTGGATAAAATTATGATGTTAAAAAATATTTTTTCTTGTCACTCATTTTATAAAATAAAGTGAAAAAAAAATTATTATTATGAATAAAAAATGTTAATAATATTATTAAATTGCTTTCTTCAAAAAAAAAAAAGGTAAATGAAAATAAAAGTAAATTATACCGTTCAAATGAAGCTATTAAATTACAAATAGTGCTTAGATAGACTCAATTAATCAGCTGATTTTTTTTTATTCATCATCTCATTAATAAATGAGCTTTCACAAAATAAGTAATAAAACAATCGTTCATTAATTATAATGATTAATGATCAGTTCACAATTTTTCACTAATAAAAGGCATCATGACAACTAATAAACATGAATTATTTAGTTAAAATAATACTATATAAATGCACAGATGGTGTGAATGATTGAATTAATTGCATAAACAGGTGGCTCATGGGCGTAAAGGTTTTTCTAATGGCACAATCAGAATGTCAATGAAGCAATTGAGCATTTGTTTACTCTTTAATGTATATATAAAAGCTAAGTAATGTAGGTGATTATTGCTAATAAAACGTTGATGTAAAAAAGGAAAAAAAAAAGCAACAAATACTACTTAGTGTTACGAATGAAATTAGACGTTTATGAACGTTTAGCAAGAATTCCTTTTCATTGCCTCTCACCTGTGTGATGGACTTTAAAGGGTAATCGTGCGCGTGAGAGAACGCCAAGCTTATTGCATAATAATTAGTAGCCAGGCAACGACCGTACTAAGAGCCCAACCCCAAGTTGTAAGCCACAAGTTCATTGCCAGTGTTACGAGAAAATCATAGCAAATAAAATTCTTTAAATAGCCTAGCAAAAGTGATGTAATGCTCAAGTATTATCCTGTGATTTTATTTCTTTGCAAGTCAGCAGTATTTTCTGATGTCTCTTTTGAGATAATGCGGCTTCATTCACAAGAAAATACCACTAAATCACCCTCAAAGATGTTCCGAATCCTTCAGCAGCCCTTTGAATGACCTCTAAATCATGAGGGATGAGCATAAAAGGGAAGTAAAATTTTATTTAATCGATTCTGCTTTGTCTCAGAGGCGTCAGACGCATGTGCAGAGTGGGTGTGGACGACGTTATATTCCTCGAAGACGTTGGCGTATCGATTCTCCCTCCAACCATCGTCTCCTTTTGCTCCTGACACATTTGAAATATGTTTGTTCTCTCATTCTTGCTCTCATAGCTTTTCATCTCTTTCTACTCAATGGAGACGTTATGTTGATAAAAAGTCACGCACACCCTATTCCTAACCATTTCTTCATTCCACGTGCCATTACTACAAGAGCGAATTGATTCACTTCGTAACTTCATGCTATATTATTTCCCTTCCGTGAAATATTGTCTTTGACGGTTGAAAAAGGAGAAAAAAATTTTTAATTACGCGACTTAATCATTCTTAAGAAGTGTCGGAATTTTTTCAACTGATGCTACTTGGTACTTTGGTACAATATATCACGAGGGTCTAAAGCTAAGAATCTTCAGATCGACGAGGAAATGCGACAGATAAAATGGAGTTCTTGAAAAGTAGACACGAAGGGACTCCCTTAGGATTACATCTGCCTTGTCTCGAACAACTTGGACGTCTATTTGAATCATTCAGCAGAAGTCTTGGGTTTTCGTAGAAACTTTCTATAAGAAGAAGGAAGTAACAGTATTAAAACTCTTTTGAAGTTGTTTTTTTACTCTTTTTTTCTTACTGTCAAACAAAAAATTTGCTGTACTGTAAACTATTGAGAGGAAAATTTTATTTGATTTAAAATAAATAGAGAAAGAGAATAATTTATTTGTCAGAATAAATTTTGAAATAAATTGAAACGATTCGGAATAAAGTGTTACTATAATTTTCATTGGTGATAAAAATATTCTTGTATTTGACAAGTTAATTGAGACGAAGATTACTGTTGAGTGCTAAAATGAAAGACATCAATCGATGTCTGTCGATAATCGGGCATTTTCACTAACTCATCGATCACCATTGATTCTTTTATTTTCATTTTCTCTTTCTAGATATTTTTAAAAAAAAATACAAACATGATTCTTGCAGCCTCAGGTATCGCTCACACCCATTTTCGCCTAGAGATTAGTCTTATAGTCATAAGCCACAGATATATCCGCTATGCCTCTGTAATGTGGACGTTAGCAGCGTCAGTCGATACAAATTAACCCTATTATTGCAGCCCAGCGACTGCGATTCAGCTGCCCATAAATTTTCATCAGCACTGGATCTGCAATCTCGAGTCTAACATTTTGCACGCTTTGATAAATTAGTCAAAGCTTTCGTATGCGGGGAAAGCTAATGATTATCACACAAACCTGAGACGCTAAATCTATCAAATTATTCTTAGCTTTCAAGTTAAAGCACCTTAGCATTACATAAAATCCATAGCTAAAGCAACCAATACAAGAGTCTAAGCAATTTCCCGTCTGCTTTAAGTAATCTTGGTCGTAAACGGAAGGGTCGAGATGAGGGGACCTCGTTCTAGCGAAAAAAGAGGGTGAAACGCAAGTACACTTTCGACGATTGTCGAAATGGCTCTCGATGCAGTAAACACTTAACGCACTCTCGTATTTCATGACTGAACCAGAGAGATTGAAGAGCTGCCTATATAAGGAAAATTCAACTAAGAAATAAAACACTCATGATTTTTTTTCATTTTCCCTTGTTTATCGAAGCAAATATCTAGAATATAAGTAAATATAATTAAGTTGTCTGATTATTGATGATATATTATTATGGTAATAACGTTTGGTTACATCTTTGTATACGTAATCTTAATTTCTTCATGTATTTATCTTACAGAGCTTCTTGGAGGCAAATTCCAAGTGCTGGTGGAATGCAGCATTGGTGGATGCAACTCGTCAATTGAGATATAATGGTCATGTAGCTCCTGGTATTCTCATGGTTGCTGGCCCACCCTGTGCCTTGGAAGTTCTACGAGCTGCATGGTCTAGGAATGTACTCAGACCTCCTGCTGATCATTGTATCACTTGTCTTGGTAAGTTTTAATTGAACATTTTCTTTAAATCATTACTTTAACATCACTAAACTAGCTAGAGATATTTTTTATTATCATTAAATATGTTTTATAATGTCTATCAGTTGGTATAGCAAAACATATCTACAGTCTTGAAGTTTATAATTGAAATTTAATGCCACTTTTTGCCTTCAATAGTCCAGTTAAGTTTTTCATTTATCAACATGAAATCATTCATTGTTTTTTTTTTAATTTTCATCCTTGAAAGACATCTACAATATCTAGAACGCGATTTCATTAAAAGTATAAATGATACATATTTGCCTCACAGCATTTATTTGTAAAGGCAATGATTCTAGAAACTCTATAATTACTCCCATTTACTTTTACATCTCTGTATTAAAGTACGTATAAATTACTTTGATACGTCATACTTTCTACTTTATTCAAATGTAATCCCTAAAGACAAATTCATTTATGCATGCACATGTTTATATTGTATTTATTATTAACAAAAGCAAAGAAGAAGGATGAAAAGAAGTGAAGGAAACTATTCTAACGGTCAAGAATATTTTTCATATCTATAAATGTGTTAATTATAAAATAACTGACTGGTTATAAACTTGTATCATTTGACGATTAAACTTGTGTTTGCATTGCCGCCTACGTACCAGAGAATCATGGAATTCTTATGCTAATATACGTAAGCATGCAAGTCAAACAAAATAAACGTGCGTACAGTAAAGCCTTTTCCTTGCGTAATTGGTCTGTAGTCTTGACTCGTGAGCACTCATCCGAACAATTTATAATGTTTCTTCCTTCAAACTTTAGCTGCCTGCAAGGCATCATCCAACTTTTCCGGTATACATCTTTCAGATGCGGGCTGACGGTCACAATATGTAGATTCCATTTGTCTCCATGAACTTCCGGTTAATGTGATTGCTTGGTATTTTTCTCGTTTATCATCCTTAAAAAACTTTCCAGTTGAAATTGATTGATCTATTTCTCTAGAATGCTGTGCAATTGTGATTGATGGTTTTTAGATAAAGTAAATTGTGATAAATAAAATGGCATAAATAGTAGGAAATATGGGAGAAAGGTTGTGGAATTATTTTTGAATGTTTAAACGAGTTAAGAAGATAAATTTTATTTTTAAACCAACGAAGAAATGAAAGTGATAACATGAATTTACAGAAATAGTATCAGATAGTGATTCAGAGGTCAATAAATTTCATATTCCTCCAATTAATTTCGTAATTTAATTAGGAAAACCATGCTGATCATAAAACGATATTAAATATAGTATTTAAACATGTTCAACATTCTAATCAGGCCAATTTATCTGCAAAGTAAAGCTCGTCTGAGGGAAACGTTGTGTGAAAGTTTAAATTTTCCTGATTCTATTGGAGTATGTTCTATTGAAGACCATCATTACTTATTAGATTAAAAGAATTTAATAATTTCATAAACCTTTAATCAGTTCAACAATTTAATTAAGAAAGCTTCTCTGCCATTATATAAATACCATGATCATGAGCTATAAGTTAGACGTTTATGATCACTTGTTTTTCATATTAAAGTTGTACAAAAATTGTTTTCCACATTCTTAATCATAAAGTAAAGTTTCAAGCATCCATAGTCGTCAATAAAATTCCCGGAAGTTTATGGAACTGCGCCAAGTCACGATTGAAGAAGATTGTCTTGTAAAATAAAATGTTTACGTGAACTACGCAGTAGGGAAAAAAGTCCTCGAGGGGTTTCAAGGCGTCGATAGGCAAATTCCTCGATGAATCCGAAGAGAAAGAAACTCGTATGTACGACCCTAAGGATAAAGGCGCTGTCTCTTCATAAAGATCGGGAGCCTTTAAAGACCACGATGCTCGTAAAGATAGGTGGTTAACTTGGAAAGAAGCTTGGCTGGACGAGCCCATCGAAGAGGGCCTAAAGGCTCTCTTGGTCAGAGTCCAACTCACACAACAGAGTCTCTTACTCTTTTTGAACTCTCACGCTACTTTGATCCAGGTGTTACAGCTCATGTTTCTTCCTCATCATCACCAATAGAATATGAAATAGAGAATACCTTTATTCATTTTTTTTATTTGACTTTCTTTTTTTTATATTAACCATTCAATAAATTGTCATAAGAGATGACCCCTAGGGATTTCTCAATTGGTAACAAATTTTCTTTTTACCGTTAATTTTTTTTTTAATTGTCATTGAACTCTAGAAATTTATTCATTTTTTTTGTTAAACTTGGCAATAAATTTGGATTTGGAATTTCTTTTTATTCCATGATTTAGTACAGTTTTCTATGGAAATATTGGTATTTAGTTTACATATTTTTTATTCAAATTTTTTTCAAGATTTATTGAGGTAAAAAGAGGCTGGAAAGAATTCATGAGCAATAAATTTCCTCTATAAATAATAAACAATCTGATTTTACCAATAGATAATTTTTTAATGATTATAAATTGCAAATTTAATGTTTATTGAAAAGAAAGTTAACCATTAAGTATTTCTCTATAGCATTCTAATGAAAATAATTAGACTCAAAGTCTATTTTACTCATAATTCAAATCCAACATTTAATATTTTTCATGACTTATTAACATTTCTTATCATTCTATTCTCCACCCTGGTTCTTTAATTCCAATAATTCCCATTCAATAAATTTCGAGGATAACCTTAGGGATTGAATAAATACAATTTAGCAATCCGTTAAGAAGCATTGAATCAGAATAAAAATGAATATCCGTTATTTGTTTTTTTTCTTTCATCAGCATAAGCTGTATCTGATCTTTCACCGTCTACTTTTCTCTTTACCAATCTGTCAGAATTACTAAAACTACGTTGGACCACGGACATGAAAACTGTCAAAGATGAATTTACGAGATGCGAAGAGTATCCAGACATATAAGATTGGAGAAGGTATAGCGACGTAACTCTATTCCTCAGCGATCAGCAAGTAGATAGGTATAGTACTGAGTGGAAGATCTGGCTTCTCTGTAGCTTGATACCACTTGCGCACGCCCAGGGCATTTGATCCTCATGTGATTCAAGTCTCTCACGCTTCTACGCATGGATCCTTGCTATCGGGATTGGTCAGTGATTTTTAATCATCAAAATAATAATAATAAAGTCCTCTGATGGTCTCATAACAATACATTACCTACCCAAATGATTGATAAAAATGCTAAAAATTCTAGTCGTGCGTTTAAAGCCTGCAAGACATATTTTATGACATCAGCATTCATACGATAGTTGATATTATTCACAAAGCTGAATTATGCGAGAAAGATCTCGGAGTCTCATGTCGCCTAAGGCCGAGGTCTTGTCCTCGAAAGGAATATCTCACGCTGGTTTGTTGACAGGCTACGATTTCCCTATTGAGAGTCTTTGAAGCCCAGAGGAAAATGCATCATTGTCGTTTTCGTCATCAGCTTTCCCTTAGGGAACCACGCGTTGTCTCGTGTAAATTGCCATGACATCAAAGAGACCCATGGCATCTAAACTAGGAGGTCTCTCACGGATCTACCCTCAGTTAAAAAGATACTCCACGACCCCAAGTGGTAAAATTGCAAAAGGGCAAGTGCTGTTGTCATAAAAGCTCTTTGAGAATTGATTGTCTATGGTCGTTGTTAAAGTGATTAAATGGACATTCATAAATTATATTTATTTCTGAGGCATAAATTGAGCAAGCTGTGCTATCTGTAAGGATATTTGTCGACTAATCGTGACCAGACGTGCTCATGGTCTAGTCTAGCATTCGAGGCCATCACGAAAGATTGCACCGATTAATGAAATGACCGTGTAATTAAACGATTATTTAAGACCAGTAGCAAGATCACCTCACCACGTGATAGCCAACGGGTAATGCTAAACCCACATTAACCACCACCAGATATACCTACAAGATATACATTAAAGAATTAGCTGAATGCATCCTACCTACACTCGTGCGACTCTCTCAGCGCAACTTGAATATACTGGATTGAGTAACGGATAATTGCACGTGGTTAATAAATTAATCTTGGACCTCCCTCGGTCACGCCTACGGCCAATGCAGGAGAGCAGAAATTGCGCCTAATCGTTCTATGCTCGTGTCGCCTTGTGGTGTTAACGTCTCTTTGTGGATCCCATTAACTAGTGTAACGAGCCCACCTAGACCATCGCACTTACATCTTTGATGCCAGTGGAGCTTCATAGTGGAGATTGTCAGATCAGGTTGACGATAGTCCTTATTTCATTTTCAACGCTCTTAAACAGCCGTCACGAGTGTGTTACATGACTGAAAAAATTTTAAATTGATAATTGAGTATAAAAGACATATCACGAGGTACTCATCACGACTGGGCTTTTAGTGACGGTGAAACGTAAATGTCGTGGACGGAAATGTTAGAGATATGATTAAATATCATTGAAATATTATTTTTCAAGATGACAATTGTTTGTTATGCAAGTTTATGAGCGATAATCATACATAAAAGGTTACAGTTAATCCAGAAAAAAATTAATTGCTTTACAATTAAACTTTTGCAGCAGAGCTGTCATCTAGGTCTCCAACAATAAACTTATTTTAAAAAATCATAGTTGGGATTAAAATAAAACAGAAGGTCTTTTTAAAGAATATTATTCAAAAGTCTTGAGGCAAACTGGTTCCAACATGAGACTTAAATCACCAATGTTTATGCAAATTATTCAATAACTTCAGATATTATAAACCCCACAAAAATTCCTAAAAATTGATAATCGAGTGTAAAAGACATATCACGTGGTACCGGTCACGATTGGGATTTTATTGAGGGTGAGAAGCGAAATACCTTAAACAGAAATCTAGTAAAAATATCCAATGAAATTTTCTTTATTCTCAAAGTAATAACTTAATGAGGCAAATAAATGACTGGGACTCAAAATTACAGGGTCGTGCAACGCACTGAGAGTGAACGACATTCTCTCTCCTTGGCAAAAGGTCTTATAGAGAAGATAAAACTACTTCAGACTATACCAGTATACTTTGTAAT